TAAGGGCCTCCCAAGTCCAGTCTCAGTGAAACCTCACACAAGCCTGGGACATAGGGATCACCAGGGTCTCATTCTACAGACAAGAATCTAAAACTCAGAGAGGTGAAGTCACGTTCCCAAGGTCACGCGGCCAGGCTGGATGGAATCTCCAGACATCTGACTTGAGGTAGGCTCGACTGAGTCTCCAGGGACTCCAGAGTTGGGGTGGAGACAGAGGCCGACCTGAGAGCTTCCTAAAGAGGGAACTCACCACTGGGTGGCAACCAACAGCTTCCCTGGGAAAATGCACATCAGTGTTGTCCAAACTACCGATTTCTCAAGAGAAGTCAGGAATCGGGATTTCTACGTGAAATCTCCTTAGTTCTAAGTTGGTTTTAAAACACAATGTATGACAGAGACTGAAGAAATTTTACAGGCAGATGCAGTGAGCCTTGACCGGATCCTAGTTTGGGAGCTCAAGCTCCAGAGGACATCTTTGGTACGACCAGGAAAATGTTACCCTGATTGGCTACTTGATGGTATGACAGACTTTCTGCCCTCCTTCTCGAGGGTGATCCTAGGATTGTGTCGTGGGGGAGAATGTCCTTGTTCTTAGGCAATCCACGCTGAAGTATTTAGGGATGAAGTGCCATGTCTGCAATTCGTTTTCAAATGTTTCAGCCAAGAAACACAGGAAAAGGAAAGGGAGGGAGAAAGGGACAGAGGAAAAGAAAATACAGAGTGTGTACTAAAGCCAACATGACAAAATACTAATAATTGTGTGGCCTGGATTAGTAACTCTCAACTGGGGGTGATTCTACCCCCGGATGACATGTGGCTATGACTGAGGACATTTTTTTTTTTGACTGTCACAGCTGGGTTGTAAGGGGGGTGCTATTGGCATAGTGGGTGGAGTCGAAGCATGCTGCCAGACCCCCTACGATGCACAGAACAGCCCCCCCACTACCGAGAATGAGCCGGCTCCAAATGGCAGTCTTACCGGGAGTGACAAACCCTAAAGACATTTTTATGTTTCAAGTTTTTTCTTTTGTATGTGCAAAATGTTTCACCGTAAAAAACAAAAAAAAACAAAAAAAACAAACAAACCAAAAAAAAAAAAAAACAGAGAGAGTGAAACTTTAAAATAAAAATAAGAATACATAAATAGCCACACCTTGCAGACCAAACAAAACATGCCTGCATGGTTGGGTAACCACAGCTGGCCACTGTTTGCAGTCACTTGTTCCGATCCACAGTGGCTGGATGTAATGCTGCTCTGGCTGGTGAATGAGGGTCTCTGAAGCTCTTCTGATATCGTGGGTGAGACCCCCGCAGCTCCTGGAGTTAGCGGCTTTCTCCTGTTATCAGGTCCCAGTCGGCCCAGAAGGGAGCAGCCAACATGCCCAGGACTCTGGGTCTGAAAACTGACATCACGGAGGCCTCTTCCGGGATACCACAAGCGCACGGGTCACCAGGAGCAATTGGTGACCTAGGGGTGCTTTCCGATGAAATGAGAATGAACCCCTCATCTCAGTGACCCGCACAGCCCAAGACAAAATAAATTAAGAGGCTGTGGCTGAGACGTTAATTGCACCCAGAAGCTCTCAGGTGGCTGGGTGCACCCCACCCAGGTACCCCCTGGCCCCCACAAGCAAAACCCAATGAGCTCATGGCTGTGGCTGGGACTTGAAATGAACAACTGCACACACACAGTGCAACATGCATTTGGATGGTCCTTGGGGCAGCCCCCAGCACCACAAATACACAAAGCAGAAATACGTGCTGAAAACACACAACCAAATGCAAATAAGGGAGTGGCCTTGGATTAATTCATCCATTCCCAAGAATGTAAAAAATAGTCCCAAACTCAAGAACGGTCTTCCTCAAGAACGTCAAGGCCACTTTTGAAGAGCCATTCAGGGAGACTGTTACATGCGGATTTCTGGGGCTCATCCCAGACCTTTACTGGCCCAGAACCTTTCTGGACAGAACACAAGAATGTGCATTTTAGGAAGCCCCCACCCACACCCCCATCCAATGCTCACTGGCACTGAAAACACCATTGAAATCAGGGGCCTGGGGACTGCAGTGTTATAACTGTGTGACCTTGGAGAAGCCATCCAACCTGAACCGTGATTTTCTCATCTATCAGTGGGAATTGACAGCACTTGTCTCCTAGGGCAGCTGTGCACACTAAAGGCGTGTTTACACACACATGCACGTGCACACACACACACACACACACACACACACACACCCCTAATACGGTGCTTGGCAAATGTTCCTTCATCTTCTGTAATGGTAACTGTCCACAGGCTGGAAAACCTGGAGAGCTTTACAAAAGTACACAGACTCAGCAACCCTAGAGATTCTGAAGGAAATTGTCGAGGGCGGGGCCCCTAGCAACACGATTTTTTTTTTTTTTAAAGCACTCCAG